CAACTACTGTTCCTTCTTTCCTGTTTCCAATGTTCACATTCCTGTTACCAGTAATTACCAAGGTATCTTCATTGTGTGTTCAATAAATTTCATACTGCAGAAGTTGATAAAAATCTTCCATTTATCTTGGCATTAGCAGTGGTGCATACATTTGAAAAATCATACCATTAGCTGGTCTTTCTTATAGATGTGTGGATATTATCCTATCACTGCCAGCACCGTTGTTCATGATAAATCTTCAAATGTTCGTTTGAAAACAAATGTGACTCCATTCCTCTTCAATTTGTTATACCTTGCTTACTAAAAACGTGATTATTTGATTCAAAATGGCCACAGCAGTCCAATTCAGGCCACCAATGCCTAGAATATCTATCATCAAGCATTGCATTTATTTTTTATAACTTCCAACTTTCTTAAGATTCACACCTTATGCATTCCATGTATTAATGGATGCTTGGAGGTGTTTTGTCTCACTTGGGGTAGTGCTACATCAGTCAACAGAGGTCTTAAAAGCCTTATTCAATTCCACGCACTAAAGTGGACTATAATTTGGAGAAGACAGCTCTTCCCCAGTCTTCCAATCTGAGGGGATCATCCTCTGGCACTGTATCAGGCAATGTTTCACTGTCACTCATAATAGTTTAACTGGCTAATTTCTCCTAGAAATTGATCACTAGGTCTGTCTTCCTAGTCTGTCTTATGGTGGGCTTATTATATCCACTAACTTTAAAATTTCCTAATAAAATGTCATCAAACAATCCCTGCCATAGGCGAGTCAAGATGTCCTACTTTCTTAGTAAGGATGTTGCGTAATAAGACTTCCACTTTATTCGGCATAGAGATAACTCTCAGAGGTGGACTAAGCTCTAAAGATGCATGGCCTTAGAAGGCCCACCAAAGGACACCAGCAATGGAAATAGTTGACAGCCCCCAAGCAGAGTCCTGTGGGGCCACCTTTTGCTTAGCAATGGCTCTGAGATCAGAATTGCCCCTCACCATGTGAGAGGGTTTGCATGATACGTGAGACACCGATCTGCAGGGAGTTCTGCTCCAGGCAGAACACAGGACAGGGAGGTAAGAGCTTGGGCTAAGCCAGGATAAGTCACTTCTGGATTTTTCACATACCACTGGAGCCAGTAGATGAGGCCAGTCCCTTATTTCTCACCAATCAATCATTTCCCTAAGTACTGGCATGCCCCAGGAAAAGTCCCCACTTTTTCACATGCCCCTCAGCATACACTGACCATCATTTTCAGCACTGGCCAGACCAACAACCACCATTTTCTGTTTAGCAGAAATGCTTGGTGAAGGGCTTCCCGCATGTTTTGTTGGCTTGCTTCACGTCAATAAGATGGCACTTGGTCCCACAACAGCTTTCCCTTCTCTGCCTCCCCAGCAGCCTGGAGCTCCCAGATAGCTGTGGGCATGCCAGCTGCGATCCTCAGCTTCTGTAGAGATTCTTTAAGGGAATCTCCAGTTTACCTGATGCGCCTTCTGGGAAGATCTGACCTTCAGCTCAGTCCTTGTTCAGCCAAGATCCACTTCATGTGCCTGGCAGCTAACAGAAAATCTAACAGGTGGCTCCCTCTTACAGGCCACATAATCGCTGCAGGACTCCCCAAATGCTTACGCTTAAGGTTGCCAGAAGGCCCTCTCAACATTACCTAGCCCCTCCCAACCCTTGGCACCACTTCTGTCTCTTCAACCTTCCTTCCCTGTAGATTTCCTTAGTCTTGGTTCTATTTCACATTCTCTTTATTCCAGCTGTAAGGCAAACGCTGGAGTCCTTACCACAACGTCAGCAGTTCCAACCTCCTGGCCTCTCTGTGGGTGGAAGCTGGAGTTATCGACCCCTAGGAGTCACTGCCTATGTAAGGAGAAACCTGACACGGTCCCATGAGTCTGAATGGACTCGATGGCAGTAGGCTTGGCGAGTTCTCTTTCTTCCAGGGCTCTCAACCAGCTGATTCCAGTTCAACCTCCTGTTCAGCACTTGCCAGTCTACCACCCAATACGCTGAATCAGAATCTCCCTTTCCAAGGGATCCTCAAGCGAGTCTCCATGTAAACCTAAGCACCAAAAGTCACCTGGGAATTCATAAGAATCACCTGGAGGTCTTGTTATCCTGTGGTTCCTGATAAAGCCGCTGTGGGGTAGGGATGCAAACTCTCCACCGGAGGCCCAACTGCAATGGGCGTGTCTGCCGGCCTGCTTTGTCCAGATCCTCCAGCTGATGCTATCTTCTGGTTTGCCTTCCTCTCCTCCTGTGGCCCCTTCACCGTTGGGCTTCGTCCAGTGATCACTCCCAGATGGTTTCTATTGCCTGCATATGAGTCATACTTCTATTTCCTTCTTTTATTGCCTTGTAAGTTTTTGCTGGAACTGGACATTCTAGGAACTATATTGTGGCAACTCTAGATGCTGCCCCCCAAACACACACGCTTCATTCTTGCTGTCTGTTGATCTGGCCTGGACTACTTGGGTGCAGTCTTCACACCCACAGGCACCCACAGTTCTAACCCTCGGACACTGCTCCAGGGGTGCCAGGAGTGCTGATTAATAGGGCGCTTCTCCTGGTTAGCCGGCCCTGACTGCCCCCAGCTGTTAAACTCCACTAAGTTCCAGCTGGCTGCCCTACTGTGCTCTACAATGCCTGTGCCTCAGTTGCTCTGCATGCCAATCCAATCATCTGAGGTCAGTGTTGTAATTAGGAAGGCGCCGCCTGATCACCTCTCACAGCTTCCAATGCTCCTGAAAGGCCCCACTCTTAGCCTTACAGCACATCCTAATGAAAGGGAAGACACTGCCAAGTGAGAAAGGACTCCTGGTGATGTGGTGGGCTACGCATTAAGCTGCAAACCTCAAGGTCAGTGGTTCGAACCTGCCAGTCAACTCTGCTGGAAAAAGATGAAGCTACCTGCTGTCAAAAGGATTAAAAACAAGGCTCAAAAGGATTGAAAGCCTCAGAAAACCCTAAGGGCAGTTTCAGCCTGTCCCACAGGGTTGATATATGAGTCAGAATCAACATAAACATTCTGTGCAAAGGTTGGTCAAACCTTTGACCTGATTTTGAATCGTTTGATATTACATCTGGAGCTGGTCTGAAAGTAAAGCATTTCCCTCTGGGTGTCTGATCGGCACATTTTTTGCGTGTAACTCACACTCGCTCCCTTTTCCAACTGCATCCTTAAGAGTCTGCACCTGTTTCTCATCTTAAATTGATTCCTCTCAGTGCACCCTGCTTCCAGGCCCCTCGCTGTATTTAAAAGAGTCCAGCATAATCGCTCCTCTTGCTTTGCGAACCAAAGACTTCCTCTCTGACAAAGGGGTATGATTTGGTGAATGCTTTTGTGTCTCAGCGTCTGATGGCTGAATTTCAGTACAGGCAACACTGAGATGGCCAGTACCCCCCCCCCCCCCCCCCCCCCCCCCCCCCCACCCCACCACCACCACTACCACCACCACCACCACCCCACCCCAAGAGCTGTTCTTCACAATAAGCGTAGTCTGTATTTATGACACAGAGCTAATAAGAAGAAATGTCTCCCTTCCCCTATCGATTCCTAAATCCACTGAGGGGTAGGACAAGGGAGTCGGTGGGGTGAGGGAGTCACAGTGGTCCAGAGTGGGGTGTTGGGGGCCAGGTGGGTTGAAGGAGAAGCCTTGGGTAGGGCCTGAGGAAGGGGTGGCATCCTTGCAGAGGGGTGGCCTTCCGCAGTGTTTCTGAGCCCCAGAGCATGAGGAAGGCTCACGGGCATGATGCCGGGGTCTGGTGGGATGAGAGGTGTTTCCACATGACAGAGCTCCTCTTGCGGGTGTCTGCATGGACGTGTGCCCAGGGCCAGGAGACCCCTGCACAGAGAGGTGGCAGTGGAGCCCCCAGGGCAGGCCTGTCCATGCAACAATCAGCCTGGCAAGTATGTGTTCTCAGGACTGTGGGGTGAGGCAGATATAAAGACAGGTGACAATTTCATTTACTGATGCCACAACTGTCTGTACAGCTTCGTTCCGCACACTCTCCTCCAACGAGGACGTGGATGCAGAGGGTCAATAGGCATGGAGCTCACACTATATGTGCCCATCCTGACTCAGAGCGGCCAGAGGCCAGAGTGGAGCTGCTCCCCACAGTTCCCAAGACTGTACATCGTTAGGGGTGCAGACTACCTTGCAGCTCTCCCTCGGAGTGGCCAGCGGGTTCGAACCACTGACCTTGCAGTTAGCAGCTCAACTCATAGTCCACTGCCCCCGCAGGGCTGCCAAGCGGACTATAAATGGGAGACCCTTCACCGCGCATGCCAAGGTAGGAGAAACTGCATAGGAGATACCAAGAGTCACTTCTGAGTGTAATTTGAATGGGAGATAAAAATAAGTTATGTCCAAAACGTAGGTGATGTGAACGATGTGATATGAAACATAAATTCAGAAACAAACCCCCCTTACGTACTTCGATACATGGCGCCCTGTGAGCCCTAGGCACCTCGTTTCTTTGGCTCAGTGTTGAGAGTCCCCCAGGCTCCTCCCCGCACGAGGAAACTGGGCTTCTCATTGCACCCGCGCTCTACCTTGACCTCGGAAGTGATCCCACTTTCTTCTGATGACTCCAGCAGCTTCCTTCCTTGTGAATTGGGCCATTTGTCTATTTTTACTTTGTGGTAGTAAATACTAATGTTGTTTGTGAATGCTGTGAGCACAGCGCTTCCTAATTCTGACAATACATCCATTTGTATCTCAATATATCCTCTCTTGTGGGGTTCACACCCATTTACAAGATCTGACCCACATGCAGGGTTCAGGAACGTGCACGCACAGATTAAATGCCTGGTGCTCTTCAGTACTGAGGGGAGGAGAGCGAGTACATGTCTTCACTGCTATTCTGTGACATGATCCCTAACAGAGAAGTGCTAATTCTAACGTTTTGGAAGTTAACTACATCCTCCAAGACTGAACCTGATCATGACCCAAAATCACAGTTTCTAATGAGAAATAAGATGGTGCCCAAGGACTACTAACAATAAACTTTATTCTCACTTCCTACACCATGACCCAAACCAGCAAGTCACCAAAACTCAGGTGAATGGCCATCGCCAGCTGGGGGTCAGTCGTCTGCCCCAAGCAAGTGGCTGATCCTGGTCACACTGAGGTACAGGGCCAGGCTGACGACGAAGAACTCCTGCGTCTTCTCCATCCACACCAAGTCCACGTGCACTCGGCCCTCCTCGTCCCCGCAGTCCATGCAGTACCTCTGCCCCAGGGAATCGCAGCTGTCACAGGGGCTGCGCGAGGGGGCCATAGAAACCGGGCAACTCAAGCACCAGAAGGGCTTTCCAGAACCTTCCTGGAGCGTCATGTCCATGATGCAGCAGTTCTACGGAACAAGCAGAGTGGACCAGCCATCGAGGTCTGAGGGAGGGTGGACACACTGGTTCCCCCCAGAGTAATAGAGCTGAGACTCTGAGAGAAGCACTGGTGCTGACCCACGTCTCCATGGTGATTATTACAGAGGAAAGGGATGCTCAGGGCGCAGGGCTTGCAAGGTGAGCAGTTTGAAGGCACCAGCCCCCCTCAGAAAAGGAGGAGGCTTTCTCCTGTAGAGTCAGTCTCGCAAACTCACAGGGGAGGTTCTTTCCCAGTCCCACAGGCCCGAGGAGTCAGCATCGACTCGACGGCAGGGAGCATTTTAGTTGACTACTATATAGAAGCCAGGTTATTTTAAGAAAACAGAAAAAATTACCTCTACACAGCCCTCGAAAGCATTGCTTCTCCAGGCAAGGCCAACTTTTCCAATGAGAGGTATGTGCTGTGTGCTGTTCTCAAAGCTTAGCACGGGGATCTTCAAGTATCCGTTTTCAATGTGTCCTGGAGAGATTTAAGATCACATTAAATTACTACAAGATCTTTGGGCTGAGTGCTCACACAGGGCACCAAGCCTCCCTGATGGAGGGGAATCAGAGGGCTTTATCAGACCATGTCGGAGCTGAGCTAATAGCAGTGGGGAGTGGGACACCAAGTCACAGTGGCACGGGGGAATGCTACAAGGCCAAGTTCCTTAGGACTTGAGTCAAGAGCCATGAAAACAAAGAACCATAAACAGAAGCTAGAACTAGTCAAGGGTGTGAAATACTCGGGACCCATGGGAGAAGCACCCAAAGCTCGGGACCCATGGGAGAAGCACCCAAAGAGACGAGGGGTGCAAGCAGGTGAGCCGAGTCCAAGGACGTCTGAGAAGGACACCAGCGCAGGACATAGGGATGGATGGGGAGGGAGAGCTGGGCAGAAGGAGATGGAGAGACGGATGAAGAGATCATGAGAGGTGGCAGAGATGGGTGGACAGGTGAGTACAGGGAAAGGAGGAGGTAAGGGAAAAGGGAGGGATGGGGGTGGGCAGCTACATCAGAGAGAAGGCAGAGAGGCCAGTGAGTAAATGGAGGGATGGACAGATGGGCGAAAGGATGGGTGCATGGGCAGGTAATAGATGAGTGAGTGGGTACACCGAGGGAAGGGCAGGTGTGTAGAAAGAGGAAGGGATGGAGGATGGATGGATGGATGGATGGATGGATGGATGGATGGATGGAAGAGTGCGTAGGTGGGTACACAGTGAGGAGGGAGGAGTTGGGCGCATGGACAGACGCATGCATGGATGAAAAGAAGCATTGCACAGGTTTCCACAGCCCGGGCTAAAAGGCTCTGCCACTTCTCAGCCAGCTGAGGGCTGACTGGCACAGACCTTGCCATGACAAAGGGAGCCTCACAGCAAGAACAGCGCTCTCGTCCTGAGTTCATGGCCCCCATGGCGGGAGACACTCAGGACTGATGAACTTCCCTCCGGAAAATGACCTTCACCTGACCCTTTTGAATGTACCCAGGCCCAGGAGCAAAAGGGTGCCTCCCTCCTGGGACATTCCCTCAGGACTCTGGAAAAGGAGAAGAGTGGGCTTCAAGGAATGGTACACAGTTTAAAACCAGGGAAGGTTTGTGTCCAGGTTGTACGCCCCTTACCTACTTATTCACACTGTACGCCAAGCACGTCATCAGAGAAGCTGGAGTATCTGAAGAAGAGTGTGGCGTCAGCAGTGGAGGCAGGTTTACTAGCAACAACCTGCAAAGTGCAGATGACGCAACCGAGCTTGCTCAAAGGGAGGAGGACTTGAAGCCCTAGGCGATGAAGAGCCAAGATTGCAGCCTTCCAAATGGATGACTTCTCAAGGTAAAGGAAACAAAATCCTCACACCTGAACCAATAGGTAGCACTATGCTAAGCAAAGAAACAACTGAAGTTGCCAAGGATTTTGGCTTGCGTGGATCTACAATCGAGGCTCGTGGAAGCAGCAGTGAAGAGATCAAGACACGTTGCCTTGAGTAAATCTGAGGCACATGACCTCGTTAAGTGTTGGAAAGCACCCGCACCACGGTGTATTTTCAATTGTCTCTGATCATGTGAAAGCTGGGACTGAAAACGGAGACCAAAGGACCAGCTGTGCATTTGCGTTATGCTGGTGAGCACAATGGACTGCCAAAAGAACAAACACATTGTCTTGGAACAGGGACAGCCAGAGAGCTCCTTAGAGGCATGGATGGTGAGATCTCCTATCGTGAACTTAAGACGTGTGATCAGGAGAGGCCAGTCCACGGAGGACGACATCATGTTTGGTAAAGTAGAGGGGCAGCAAAAAGGAGGAAGGTTCTCAGCAAGATGGCTTCACACAGTATCTACAACAATGTGTCCAAGTCTAAGAACAACTCTGAGGGTGGCACAGATCCGGGCGGTGTTCCCTTCTGGGGTACACAGGGTCGCTGAGTCAGAAGGGACATAAAGACACCTACCCAGCTCAGGTTTCGGGACAGTGCTGAGGAAAGACAAGGAAGACTCTTAGCTACTCCACGAACCTCAGCAGTTTACCTCCCAGGACAAAATACAACCAAACGAAGCTGCCCTGGGAGCCAAAGCCCTGCTCCACAGCGCGCATGCGAGGCTGTCTCCTAGGAGGCAGAGAGGAGGCCGTGGGCGGCCAGCTGCCGTCCCCTTGCTTTGCTCCAAGGACAGAGCAGGCCCTTCTTCATCCTGGCTGCTGAGTAATTAGCGGGGGCGGGTGGCTGCAGGGGCAGAGGTGGAAAAGAATGCCAAGCCACACTGACCCTACCAGGCAACAACCAGGCTGCCGGCTCGGTGCTGGGCAGGGGCTTGGACAGATCTGTGCACCAGGCCCCCAGGGAACCTGGGAATGACCGTGATGCCCGATGCCGCTCTGCCCAGCAGTCAAGAGGCCCTTGGCTGGCCAGAGAGGAGGCGGGCCAGTCTGGAAACCCACACAGGACCCCGGACACAGTTGCACGGTCTGAGTTAATGGGTGTGCTGCATGCCCCTGCAGGAGGCAAAGGCTACTGCCACATTGCTGTTGCCAGAGCGCCTTCTGCTGGAGGCCACAGTGGCAGCTGGCAGGCAAAGTTCCCCTGCCAGCTCTCTGTCACTCCTCAGATGGCGCATGAGAAAAACATCAGCGCTGCTGCCACTTCACTGAGTTGTGCACAGAGCACTGGGTATAAGCCTGTGCATGAGGCGCAGGCCAGTCAATACCCTGCATGCTTCCCTGCAGATCAAGCATTCTGTGCACAGCAGCCTGAGAGGCAGGTTCTGGGCGCTCCTTTACAAGCACACTCTGGTGCACAATGCACTCTCTCACAATGGAGATAATGTAGTAGATTCGAATTCTCAGAAAGCACTGCTTTCACACGGTGCCAGTGCAGAATAGCCTATCTACAAATTATCGGCAAAGCTCTGACGGGAAGGAAAACAGCTACGGCTCCCAGAAAAAAAACGTTGATTCATGTCTCAATCCGTGGATCCTATGCCCAGATTCACATTCCAAACCTTCCTGGGAACTACGGCATAGATGATGTAATTCATCAATGAGACCCACCCCACAGGGCAAACCTGGAGTCGGAGCCAACCATTCAAGGAAGCAGCCCAGCATGAGAAAGACAAACTTCTGACAAGCACAGTGGCAGGCGGGGTTGCCAAGCCGCAGGGCCAAGGAAAACTGCACTCTGTGGTTCTTCAGCTGCGATCCTTACAGAGGCTACGCATCACGTCTTTCTCCTGCGCTGCTGCTGGAGAATTCAGACCACCGGTCCTGTAGTCAGCTGCTGAGAGCCTAACCAGTGTGCCACCCAGGCTCCTGGGAGGTCCCCTAAGTATCAGACTGGACATGCGATGGCAATCTCGCGTGCTACAACATCTCAAGCCTGCAAGATCAGGAACATCAGCTGTCGGCACACTGTGGCGCAGCGGGAGCCCCCCTGCAGCTGGGAGCTCTGGGATGGAGCGGGGTACTGGCTGCCCAGCCGCTTTGAGGGAGGCAGCGGCAGCAGCGGCTTTCTGAGCCCATCAAAAGTCCACAGCCAAAAAAAAAAAAGTCCACAGCCTTGGAAACCCACAGGGGCAGTTCTACTCTGTCCTGCAGGGTTTCTCTGAGTCAGCGGCAACGTGCTGGTGGTGAGTTTTGAGTTCACTCTGGGAAAATTAGTTCAGCAGTTCCCTATACTATTCGACTATTGGCTCAGCAATTCTACGCCTAAGTATTTCATGAAGAAAAACGGACCTGCATGTCCCTAAAGAATCTTACAACACTTTTATAGCAGCTTTACTCAAAAGCAGTCAGAACCAGAAAGCACCATCACTTTCCGTCCGTCATCAGGAAAACGGATGGACAAATTAGCAAGCTACTCCTGGGCAGAAAAGGAAGAAGCTGTTAACACTTACAAATGTACGCCGGACCTCAGAGAAGTTACTGAGTGGGAGAGCGCAGACCCCAAAAGGACGTAGGTGGTCGGATTTCAAGGACGATGGCAGGTCAGAAAGTACGCTACAGAATCACAGAACCCCTCGGGAGATGCGCGCTCTACAACGACCAGCCTGGGAGACCCTCGGGGCAGCATTTAACCAAGAACCAAGGTCGTCAATCTGAGGGGAAGGAGAAGGAAAGCAAGCAGGGAGCCAGGGAGGAAGTGGGCTAAGTGGTGTTACATTGTGGGGATCACAATCATGAAACAAAACGCACTTGACCTGATGAAGGGAAAACTTATTTGCTCTGTAAACATTCACCCAATTAACAATAAAAAGTTCATTTTTTCAAAAATCGAACAGGAAGCTATGTTTATTGACCTATCCTCCATCCAAATCTATCCACTTCTGAAGGTGGAGTTTGGTTGGTGGCCCAACCAGGAATACAGTGAGTCCAGAAGGCCGGAACACCACGGAGGAGGAGAGACCGACAGACAATCTGCACAGAGCCAGTGCTGGTGACAGATCCAGGATGACCATTTTGACAGGTTTTGAGTGTGCAAGAAATTAGACACTTCTTGAAACCAGACTTAATCCTTGCATCGTGTACCAATATGAACCCTGTCAAGTCAGTTGGAGGTAGGTTCAGCTTTCTAACATCACCCCACTGCACCCACCCCAACCCCGCAAAACAAAGAGGCATTTATATCCAATATAGAAGTGGTCTGGATTTTTCTTTTTAAACAATTTGTTGACACAGAAAACATGGAGAGAGGTCGAAGGGAATGGACTGGAAACATGGAGCTAAAGGGCGAATGGCTACTTAGAGGCTTCTGGGCAGGCTAGAGGAGACATGCTGAGGAAGAGGAACTGCGAAGTGTCTCCGGAACAAAGTGGGACAGCTCTTCTCTGAGCTGGAGGAAAAGGCACACGATGCGGACGCAGTAGAGGTGGAGGCATTTGATGGAGAAACATCAGGAACCAGTGGTTCAGGATGACAGTTTGGAGCTCAGGAGTGGGGAGTCAAAGGGCATGAATACTGGACGACAGACAGTAAGCTGTCTCTAGTGACATGCAGG